CCACTTAGGGTTGCCAGCCAGTGGCAGGCGCCCAGTGGGGACATTGTTTCAACAGTGTGATGTCATTTCCAGGGCGAACCTGGAAGTGACATCACACCACTCTAGGATTCAGTGGAAACTCTGGTTTTACCATAGAGTTTCTGCTGAATTCTAGAGCGGTGGGATGTCACTTCCGGGGTTGCCCTGGAAATGACATCATATAGTCTCTGTGATGGTGGTTTTTTCTTCTTTTGCTCCCACTGGCCTCCTGAGTGGCAGAAGGTGTTGGGAGATGCTGGCAGGAGGTCTCCCACTATAGCAGGAGATCTGGCAACTTTATTTCCACCCTATTTCTGAGTAGGCGAGGTGAGCTCCCCAACCCCTTCAGTTTCTAAGTTGATGCAACAATGCATAAAACGTTGGCCCAGGCCTGACAGGACCACTAATCTTCCGGCAGGCACCCACACCGCAGCTGTTGCATTCCACGGTGCAGGAGTGGCTCCCTTCTGTTATTTAAACCTCTTGCCAGCCCTCTTCGGGTTGGCATCTATATTTCCTCCGCCTCCCCATAACTCCCCATTCTCCATTTATCTGTCTGCTGTCTCTCTCCTGCAAACGCTTCCCACGATCATTTCTCTTCCTCCCCAGCAAGTCCATCTTTCTCCTGCTTTGACGCAGATCTATGATTTTACATTTGGGGGCCTCCCGTCCCGTGGATGCCGGGGGAGGGGAAAGCAAGTTATATTTCTGCGGGGCTGTTGGGAGGGGAGAGATGTGACATGACAAAGCAGAAGCATCTCTTGCCGCCAGCTTCAGGCACCTCTTCTGGTGGCTGGGAATTCTACACCGACATAAAAATATTCCAGGAAAGTGCAGGGCTGAGCCTGCAAAAAACAACAACAACCCAATTCTCAGGAAAGGATCAGGCCCTGAGAAAATCCTGTATTTTTCCTCCTAGCTGAACTGAGCAGAAAAACCACAGTGGCAACAGGCGACGGGACGACTGACTCACGTTGCAGTCAGACACACAACCAAGGGCCACCTGGAAAGACCTTTCCAAGCACAGTTGCTGCTAACTTCTGCCTGCGAGATGCCTTTGGGGGGTAGGCCAAGCAGAACACCAGTTGCTGGGAGGTTGCCTGCTCCTTTTGAGCAGGAAGTGGGAGGCCGGCCCTCAGCTCCCAACCAAAGATGCTGATTTGGGGATGTGGCACAGGAAGTCCTGCTGGAGAGTCAGGCCCTTTCCACACTTGGATCTCGTCCCTGGTTTTATCAGAGTTCAACTTGCGACACAATACCTTGCATTTATCCCTGGTTATAACGGTCCTTTCTGCACGAGACCTTAAATCCTGGTTCAACCCTGTCCCCGAACTTACATTCTACGCTACATGCAATTTCACCCCTGTAGTTATCTCGGGGTACTTTTACATTCTACGCTACATGCAAGTTCACCCCTGTAATTATCTTGAGGTATTTTTTGTTTCCACATTACAATGAGGTCACCCCGCTTTTGCCCCACACTTGTCCCGGGATAAACGGATGCTGTTATAACCAGGGATAAATGCAAGGTATCGTGTCGCGAGTTGAACTCTGATAAAACCAGGGATGAGATCCAAGTGTGGAAAGGACCAACACAGCATCCGTTTATCCCGGGACAAGTGTGGGGCAAAAGCGGGGTGACCTCATTGTAATGTGGAAACAAAAAAATACCCCGAGATAACTGAGATAGCTTGGCTCTTGCAGCATTATCGGTATTTTGGGGGGGTGAGTTTGTTTCCCCCTTTTCCTTTGTTTGTCAAGCCACACTTAAGCCACGCATCAAACCCAGCAAGCTTAATGGCTGCCAACGGTCCACGAATGTCTCTAACCCTTCCGCACCTTGTGGCGTGAGTTCCACAAGTTAGTTGCACATTTTGCAGCTCTGGGTTTTCTGCAGCCAGATCGATCGTCATAAGAAGCTGCCTTACTCTTCTGGGCAGGGGCTCTCTCAGGCCTTTCTTGTTAGAAGTGGAGGACTTGGTGTTGTCTTTTGTCTCAAACTTGGGAAATGGCACCGAAGAGTTTAGATGGATAGAGAGGCCAGGACACACAGAGCATCCTTTCCTTCCTGCTATCTGATCCTTTCCTTTGAAGTAGAATGCTACTCTTAGGGGCAATTTCCGCTGAGTCTGCTCTTTCACTCTCTTCTCTCTCGCACACACACAAAAGAAGGTGCATGCTCTCTCCATCTTGCACCACAGAGGCTGGACATGCGTCCAGCATCCAACACCATCTCGTTAGTTAGAGCAGGTAATCTATATCCGTCTCTTACTTGCACTCTCCAGCATGTATTTCCTTTAATAAACATTGCTTATTAGTTTTAGAACTGACAGCTGACTCCTCCATGTAATTTCGTAAGTCTGTCGCCACACCTAGCCCCAGCTCTGCTGTGTTAAAGCCTTTGAGCACTTTGCTATTCTTCCATGGTTCCCTGGCAGTACCAAGTCCAGAGAATCCAACATTTCTTAGCTGGGTGACCAAGAGGCCTTCTCATGGGAGAGGCCAGGAACACGCCTGAGGCCATCCACGTGCAAGGCAACAACCACAACCATGGTGTTTCCCTGCACAATTGTATTGATATCCCCCCACATCGGGACTAAAGTTGGTTATAATGCGCCAAGGACAAAAGCGTCTGGCTTTTTTGTATTCTGAAAAATGTTGTGGGAATGATAAATAAGGACGAAACTCTGCCTCCGGTTCCATTTGGTGGGGGGGAAACAGCCCAATCCTCCAATCCGCTATTGAGCCAGTCAAGCGAGCCGACAGCCGTGCGGGAGCTCCTGTCTCCGTCCTCCCCCTCGTCCATTTTTTTAAAAAAGGAATAATTTGGCTTTTGCCGTGATCAGCGCAGGGGAAGTGGAGGCTTGTAGGGGAAGTGCGGTGCTTTGACTGATGCTTTTTTTTTTTGGCCGGATCTATATTTCTGGGCTTGTCAGAAGGCATCTGCTAACGACTATCTGGCCGCCGGGGATACACCTGAAAGGCCATCAGATCCCGTGGGGGCAGAAAGGGGCTCAAAAGGTGTGTTCGCGTGGGTGGTTTCTACCCCTCCTTCTCGTCCCATCTCAGCATCAGTGGCCGGAGGTCTAACTACACATCCCGGAGATGGAAGGGATGCTGCTTCCAACCCCTCCCTTGGTGGTCACGGGCGGTGCGGGGAGTGAAACTCGCCTTTGGCTTTTTGTTGTCCTCTGCTGATGAATTCTTGTTATTGCTTGTTTTCAGGGCCCTTGGCATTTCCACTTGGTACGAACTTGAAACCACCCCTCCCCCCAACACCAACGCCACAATCCGTCATCCCACACATACCATCTCAAGAGCCATGAAAAAGTTTAATTCTGAAATTGCTGTTAACATATTCTGCATGTCTGGAAAATGCCATCTTTTGCTACTTTAGTTTAATAGCCACCAGCTTGAGAGTCCTACAAGTTATCTATTTGTTTTAACTTTCTGGTCACTAAAAAGGGATTATCCTGCCAATGTCTTGATTTTTTAATTCTAACAGACCAACAAGAACACAGGAAGCCGCCTTATGCTGAATCAGGCCCTGGGTCTATCAAAGTCAGTATTGTCTACTCAGGGCCGGCTCCAGCTTATTTTGCACCCTAGGCAAGGATCCCTTCTGCTTCCCCCCCCTGTGCGCCCACCAATTTTCAAAAATAAATGCATTTTAGGAAGAATGAAAAACACAAATAATCAAGAAACTCCCAGAGTACGGGGCCGGGTGCAGTTTGGTGCCCCTAAGGGCCGTCCCGCTCTAGGCGATCGCCTAGTTCGCCTAGTGAGTGAGCCAGCCCTGTGTCTACTCAGACTGGCAGCAGTTCTCTGGGTTCTCAGGCAAGCAGAGGTCTTTCCCATCACCTCCTGCTTGGTCCTTTTAACGGGGGGAGGTGGAGATTGAACCTGGGACTTTCTGCATGCCAAGCAGATGATCTACCACTGAGCCATGGCCCTGTCCTGGAAGAGAGATTTGGAGGGTAGCCATGTTGGTCTGGTCAAGTCCAGCAGCCCCTCATTTGCCAACAGAAATCTGAGGGAATGCCCTGGCATGGATAGCCCAGGCAAGCCCGATCTCATCAGATCTTGGAAGCTAAGCAGGTACGACTCTGGCAAGTACTTGGAAGGGCGACCTCCAAGGAATACCAGCAGTTGGGAGGCAGGGGCAGGCTTTATTCAGCCACCTCTCTGGATATCCTCCAGGCAAAGAATCCAGAAGGCTCTGCACACTTTCCCTGGCAATGAGTCGGAGGTGCTTGTTGTAAATCCCATTTAATAATATGAGCGGGAGTGGTTCATCCTCTTTTCCAGACTGTTTTTCAAGATACAGCATTTCACAAGGAAAATGGTCAGAAAATTCTGTGGGATACTTGTGAAGGAGACATTTAGAAGTTTCTTCGAGTTCCCCAGGCTCTAGAATTATATACTTCAGGTCTGTGCAGAATGCAAAACAAACGTAAGGGGTTGTTTTGAACTTTAGCTGTCATGCACAGATGACATTGCCCAGATCAGTATTCCCTCTAAGTTGAGTTAGTGTGAGCTAGCTCGCAGTTTTTTAGCCTCCGGCTCACACATTTTTGTCTTCGCTCAGGAAGGAGGGCTCCAGAGCCGACTGATTTATGCAGTGGCCAAATTGGTCCCTCACAACTTCAATGCCAGGAGCTCACAAAGTAGAATTTTTGCTCACAAGACTCCACAGCTTAGAGGGAGCCTTGGTCCAGAGTTGCCTCAAAAACATTCCTTCTGAATATCGACTGTGGTTGTGGAGCTACCACTGAGAAGATCCTGCCTCTTGTGACCTCACTTTCGAGGCCATGTGGAACGGGACGGCCTTTCTCTCGGCCTCTCTCCTCCCACGCAAATCTTGGCAGTCGCTTCCACCCGGTGTCCTAGACTCAGGCATGCTGGTAGGATCAAACTCTTCTTGAGAATGCCACAAACAGCCAATCAGAATAATAACCGTGAGCTCTTCCTCCCTCCTCCAGCTCCTCCCATCTCGATCTCAGTCATTGCCGCAGACACGCCCGCCCCCTTCAGCCGCTACCAGGCCCAGAACTTCACCTTGGTTTGCATCGTCTCCGGTGGGAAGCCAGCCCCCATGGTAAGTCGCTGGGAGGGGAGAGATCTGCGAGGGAGGTGTAGCATGAATGGGAATATAAATATTTTTCCCTTTGTGATTATTCATATTTTATAGATTTTTCTCCTAAGTAAGATTTTATTAGGAGGTGATGAAGGCCTACTAAATAGTAGGACTTTCTCTTGTAGGTTAGATTATTTTTCTAGCTGATGCTAGCAGACAAGAAAACAACATTCTTTCGGTATAGAAGATAGAGTTAATGGTTTTTAGTTGTTTAGGGTAAAACTTTGCAGTGTAGGACTCCCAAATCTCGCCAAATTGTGGCGGGGGATCCGCATGTCTTTGCAGAATCCGTGCCACAGGGGCGGCGAGACGCGTTGCACCACCGTCGCCAGGACATGACGCTACGCGTTGCTCTGGCAGCGGGGCTGTTTGGAGCCCCGTTGCCAGAGCGACGCGTAGCGTCATGTCCTGGCGATGGCGGGTGCAACGCGTCTCGCCATCCCCGCGGCACGGATTCTGCAAAGACACACGATCCCCCGCTGCGACTTGGCAGCCCTATTGCAGTGTCTGGGTCAAAAAGGATTTTAGCTTCGTATCAGGAAAAAAACACCTTTGGGTATGAAGAATCCTTGGCCAGGAGAGCCAGTTTGGTGTAGCGGTTAAGCGCGGACTCTAATCTGGGAGAACTGGGTTTGATTCCCCACTCCTCCACTTGCACCTGCTGATGTGACCTTGGGTCAGTCACAAGCTCTGGCACAGCTGTCCTTGGAAAAGAGCAGTTTTGGTTAAGAGCCCCACCGACCTCACAGGGTGTCTGTTGTGGGGAGGGGGAGGGAAAGGAGTTTGTCAGCCGCTCTGAGACTCCAAGTAAAGGGCGGGGTATAAATCCAATCTCCTCTTCTCTTCTTGGCCAATATTATTCAGGTTAGGTTAAGTAAACACTTACGATCCTGTGTAGGCACACCTTCACATCTGACCAATGAGTGGACCATTACTCAAATGATGCCCTGTCCTTTGTAACCAATTATGCTTTTTGAATGTTATCCTCATGACTGTGTCATTTCATGTATAAAATGTCATGTACTTCCTGATTGTGTTCAGAAAGCAGTCGACTTTTTGATAGGCTGGTTTGGCCTAACTGTTTTCAGGTGTCTTGATTGCAATTAACACACGAAGACCGTCCTCCTCATTTTGACTTCATTTTTTTTTTGATTGGGAATCTATTTGTATAACAGAGGGGAGAGGTGGAGGTTTATGTACCCTTTGGTGTAGCATCTGTGTCCGAACCGGGCTCCTTCCTGGTATCTGGGCTCTAAGCGGAGGCTGAGCAACAGGATGGCAGCCACCAGAAGCTCCAGAGTTTTCTTCTGCCTCTAAAGCACAGGGGAGATGAATTTGGAGATTGAAATGAGCCTGTGAGAAGGCAAAAGGCCCTTTTTTGCATTGGGGGAGGGGGCCCTTGACAAGGTCAGTCTTGTCTCCTCTGACGAGCAGAAGTTCCTCAGGGTCCCAGGCACAGAAAGGTCTTTCCCATCCTCTCCTACCTGATCATTTTTAGCTAGAGATGCCAGGGGTTGAACCTGGGACCTCCAGCATGCCAAGCAGTTGCTCTGCCACCGAGCCACACACCCCTCCTAAGACGAGTGACCAAAGTCTCTTCAGTACATTGAAGTGACCTGCAAGCCATTTCTGGGTGACTCAATCTCGGTCCATTGCAGTTCAGCTGAGTTCAGAAAAGCCATTCGATGGAGCTGAGCCGCGCGGTCCCTTCCGTTTTGTTCCAGAAGATTGACAGCACTGATGAGGGAAGGAGCCCCATTAGTTCACCCAAATCATGAGCGTTAGAAGTGATGGAGGAGGTCATGAGGAAGCAGGTCAGGGGATGACGATGAGTGATTAAAATGTGGAATTCGCTGCCAGACGATGGAGTGATGGCCACGGGGACGGAAGGCTTTGAAAGTGGAATAGACAGACTGATAGAGGAAGAGGTCTATTGGTGGCTACCAGCCATGGTGACTGGAGGAAACCTCCATGCTCAGAGGCAAGTCGGCCTCTGTGCCCTGCTGTTGGACCTCGGTGTGAGACAGGATGCTGGACTAGATGGACCCTCACTGGTCTGATCCAGCAGGGCTCCTCTGATGTTCTCATCAGGGGAAGGCCTCAGCTTCTCTGCCTTGTTGTTGGCACTCCAGAGGAACTGGTTGGCCACTGGTGTGAGACAGGATGCTGGACTAGATGGACCACTGGTCCGATCTAGCAGGTCTCTCCTTATGTTCTTTTGAAGGCCTCGGCCTCTGTCCTGTTGTTGGCTCTCCAGAGGAACTGGTTGGCCACTGGTGTGAGACAGGATGCTGGACTAGATGGACCACTGGTCCGATCTAGCAGGTCTCTCCTTATGTTCTTTTGAAGGCCTCGGCCTCTGTCCTGTTGTTGGCTCTCCAGAGGAACTGGTTGGCCACTGTGTGAGACAGGAGGCTGGACTAGATGGACCATTGGTCTTATCCAGCAGGGCTCTTAGATTCTTCTCAGGAGAAGGCCTTGGTCTCTACGTCCTGTTGTTGGACCTCCAGAGTAACTGGTTTGGCCACTGTGTGAGACGGCATGCTGGACTAGGTGGACCGCTGGCCTGATCCAGCAGGGCTCTTCTGAGATTCTTATGACATGTGGTCCAGAATTTGCAGCATTCTCAGGATTAAAACAAACAAGGCACTGAGAGATTCATGGTCAGATTCTCTCATCTTCTTTACAATGCTGACCGAAGCCACGAAAGGGCCCTTCATGTTTCCATCCCTGCACGGCGCAGAGTCACCTGGAGTCGGCTTGTTAAGTGGAAGTCCACATCTCTGAGCTTAGGTGAGGCTCAGCCGCAGTTTCAGGACTGTGAAATGGGAACGCTGGTGACCTGTCTCAGGGCTGTTGTGCCAATGTTCGGCATAGTGGTTAAGTGCGCAGACTCTAATCTGGGAGAACCGGGTTTGATTCCCCACTCCTCCACTTGCACCTGGCTGGATGATCTTGGGCAAGCCGTAGTTCTGGCACAGATGTTCTCTCAAGGACAGTTCTGGAAAGAGCTCTCTCAGCCCCACCTACCTCACAGGGTGTCTCTTGTGGGGAGAGGAAGGGAAGGAGATTCGAAGCCGCTCTGAGACTCCTCTGGGTAGTGAAGGGCGGGGTATAAATCCTTGGGTCAGTCACAGTTCTTTTGGAACTCTCTCAGCCGCACCTACCTCACAAGGTACCTGTTGTGGGGAGAGGAAGGGAAGGCGATCGAAAGCCGCTTTGAGTCTCCTTATGGGAGAGAAAAGTGGTGTCTCAAACTCTTCTCTTCTTCTGGGGCATCTGCAGTGCAATGTAAACTTTGGCCCCGTGTTGTAAAAAAGAAGGGGGGGAAAGACCTACCAATTTTGTATGCCTTCCCCCTCTCACTGCCCACACCACATAATGCCAGTTTGGTGTAGTGATGAAGTGCGCGGACTCTAATCTGAAAGAACTGGGTTTGATTCCCCACTCCTCCTCCACTTGCAGCTGCTGGATGACCTTGGGTACGTCATAAGTTCTGTCCGAGCTGTTCTTGAAAGGGCAGCTCTCTCAGCCCCATCCACCCCACAGGGTGTCTATTGTGGGGAGGGGAAGGGAAACGGGATTGGAAGCCGCTCTGAGACTCCGAGTGAAGGGTGGGGTATAAATCCAATCGTCTCCTCCTCCTCTTCTTCTTCCTCTTCCTCCTCTTCTTCTTCCTCTTCCTCCTCCTCCTTCTATTGTGATTTTCCTGTGCCACCCTCTTCAGAGCTGAGATTCCCTCTCTAGTCCAGGGTTATGGCTGATGTTTTATTCCATCAAGCAGTTGTCTCATTTCCCTTTTGAGGCCATCCCTCTGGACTGCGTTCCCCAGAGTGGTTCCTTTTATACAAACACGAGCAGGAGCTGGAAGGGGTAGAAGTTCCTGCATTCTGGGGAATTATTTCTACTTATGCATTCCCGTATCTGAAGCATTTAAATTCTGAAAAGGGATGGGGGTGGGTGGGAAATAAGCTTTTCTCTGTTTCTTAAAAAAAAAAACACAACACTTATCTGCAAACATTCCCGTGGCTGTTTCATTACACCATGACATCGGAGGCTTGAAAGAAGCTTTTTGGAAATGGAATGCAATCTTCTCTTCAGAGAGACAAATTCAAAAAGATTTTAACAGGCTTCTCCAGAGGCACTGCATTGCAAGCTCTCCACCCAGACCCCTCCTCACATGGCGGAATCTGCTGCATGCACACACCTGGGGGGTCTCATGGTTGGAGAAGCTCTTGGACTGGATATGGCTAGGATGGCTCTCCGCACGTGCTTAGGAACACCCTTCTTCTGCTGCTGGTCCTCCATTGCCTCTAAGGCTCTGTGTTTGAAATAGTGTGATTCTAGTGGAGGCCTGGCCCTAGAAGTGGACCTTGTCTCCAAACCATTTTCTGGACCTGCATCAGTGCTCCCTCTAAGCTGAGTTAGTGTGAGCCAGCTTACAATTTTTTAGCCTCCGGCTCACACCTTTTTGCCTTAACTCAGGAAGGAGGGCTCCAGAGCAAACTCATTTATGCAGCAGCCCAATCACTCGCTCACAGCTTTAATGCCAGGAGCTCACAAAGTAGAATGTTTGCTCACAAGACTCCACAGCTTGGAGGGAGCATTGCATTACGGGAGCAATGCAGCTTTTCTCCATCCGGCCCTGTGGTTTGATCCTCCATCTCTGGTGTTCCCTGGTCCCACCCAAGCACACACAGAGTCACACCTGCAGCTGCCTTACACCCAATCAGACCACCAGTGCATCAAAGTCAGTACTGTCTACTCAGACAGGCAGTGACTCTCCAGGATCTCAGGCTGAGGTCTTTCACGTCACCTGCTGTGCTGCCTGGTCCTTTTTGGACTGGAGATGCCGAGGATAGAACCCGGGATCGTCTCTTCCACCGCACCGCAGCCCCTGCTGGGCTCAGTGGAAGCAGCAGCCGGTCAGTCCTGTGACAGGATTGTTCCTCTTGGGAGGAAGAGGTGTTGAAAGTTGTTGGTTAATTGCATTTTTATCCTTCCTGTTCTTGAAGGAGTTCAGGCTGTGGGATGCGTGGTTCCCCCCTCCCCCTTTAATCATCACAACAATACTGTGAGGTTGGTTAGGCAAGGGGGGGGGGCTTGGCATACAGAAGCTTCACTAGATCTGGTGGGGATTTGAAGGTGGGTCTGACACCTTCAAATGCAGTGGCTCAAGTAGTTAAGACGCTGAACTGCAGGCTGTGGAAGGTCAGTAGTTCAGCAGTTCGAGACCCGAGTGCCGCATGACGGAGTGAGCTCCCGTCTCTAGTTCCAGCTCCTGCCAACCTAGCAGTTCGAAAGCAAGAAATTGCAAGTAGATAAATAGGGACCACTTCGGTGGGAAGGTAACAGCGTTCCGTGCGCCTTGTTGTTTAGTCATGCCGGCCACATGACCACGGAAATGTCTTTGGACAGCGCTGGCTCTTCAGCTTTGAAACGGAGATGAGCACCGCAACCCTAGAGTCGGACTCGACTGGCTTTCGAGCAAAGGAACCTTTACCTTTACCTGACACTCTATTGACCAGACCACCCTGTCTCAGCAGTCCAACGGTGGCTAGTTTCACCCTGGAAACTGGGCAGGAAGAAAGGGGTTGAAACTGCAGGGATGTCCCAGGCCAAAGATGACCAGAGCAGCAGTGCCCCTGGGCAGTTGAAGGATGCCCAGCTTTGGGCGTGTTTGAAGCAAGGTGTAAGGCAAGGCGCCCTCTCTAGGGTTCTCTCGCCTTTGTCCTATAGGCCACAGGGTTGGAGCCCAGGGGTCACCGCAGGTACAAAAGTTTCAGGCGTTCTCCTCATTCTGAATTTCTCCCTAAGTTTTGGGATTTGTTTTCCCCAAACTGAAAATTATGCATTTGGAATCCTTTGTCATCCTCCTTGTTTTTGAAAGGTGTGCTGTGCATGCACGGTTTGTTTCTCACCCCTTTCAGGGCCTTTCCCTGCTCCCCTATATACCTGTACTTGAATAAAACAGTGAAACACCCCCCCCCCCATCTTGATGCATATGATTGAACCAATGATTAGCTACTGTAGATTTTCCGGGCTGGATGGCCATGGTCTTGGCATTGTAGGACCCGATGTTTCGCCAGCAGCTGTGACTGGCATCCTCAGAGGTATAACAGGGAAAGATGGAGTACTCTCTGTGTCAAGGATTCTTGAGGGAGGGTGTTACCAATGTATGCATCAGTAACACACTGCAAAAAAAAGAGAAAAGATTCCTGATGTGGTCATATGTATGATTCTTTGCAAGTTTTCTAGAGGCACTTGTGAACATGAAATATGGAATATGAATATGGAATATGAAAGAAGTGGAGTGGGCATGCTCAGTATCTGGTATTAATGTTAGAAATTCTCCTGGTTAAAGCTGAGTTCAGGAGGAGTAGAATGCCAGAGCTGGTGAGACTTTGGAGCAATCGAGGAACATAATGGGGAAACCATTCGTTCATTTAATTTTTTTGTGAGTATGTGTGTCAGTGGGGGGGGGGGAGTGTGCGTGTGTGTGTATGCCTGGAAGTTATGGTTGACTTCTGGTGACCTCTAGTGGGGCTTGGACATTTCAGAGAGGTGGCTTGCTATTGCCTGCCTCTGCATCCCAACCCTGGTATTCCTTGGAGGTCTCCCATCCAAGGACTTGCCAGAGTCGACCCTGCTTAGCTTCCGAGCTCTGACAAGACCGGGCTGGCCTGGTCTACCCAGGGGGGCATTCCTTTATTCAAGGAAGAAGTCTACGTAGCACATAGGCTTTCAGACAAAATAGTGTAACAATAATTAAAATGTGTAATACAAAAAAGGGAACACGGAAGGAACGGGGGAATGCCTTTGTCCATCCAGCAGTCTTCTCAATGCCTGCTCTCCTCCCTCCCTGCAGGTCTACTTCAAGAGAGACGGGGAGCTGATCGAGGTGGTGCCCTTGGCGGAACCCCCAGTCAGCGCTGCTAGCTTGCAAGACGGCCGAGCGTCTCGGAACCTGCTTAACCGGGACATGGACGACACCAAGATGCAGAAGTCGCTCTCCCTCCTGGACGTGGAGGACCGGGGCGGGAGGCCCTTCACGGAGGACCCTTTCAAAGGCCTCACCCCGGACCAGGGACTTTTGTTCAGCCCGGCCACGGAGGTCGTCCCAGAGACTGTGGTGAGCCGGGAGTTCCCCCGCTGGATCCACAACGTGGAGCCCATCTACTACTTCCACCACACACACATCCCCATCAGCGACGGGACCGTGGAGGTGCGGGCAATGCTCATGTGGACGCTTAACCCCCAGATAGACAATGAAGCCCTCTTCAGTTGCGAGGTCAAACACCCTGCCCTCTCTATGCCCATGCAGTCCGAGGTGACTCTAGGTAAGAAGGAGGGGCTCCAGCGCCGTGGCCGGGGGGGGGAGAGCAGGGGGGTGGGGGGGGGGAAAAGAGCAGGTGTGGCCCCTGGCGAGGGGACCAAGGCACACCTCCACTTCTGTTCCGAGCTCTCGCCTGCCAGGCGCCCTGAAACCATTCACATGAACACAGGTGCTTTCCAGACATTGGATTCTCCAGGACAGTAGATACCAACCCGGAAGTGAAGTGGGAAGCACTTCCTTGGAGCGGACAAAGAGGAAGGGATTTAAAAATGGCAGGGGGTGTAGATTTCATAATACAATAGTGGAAAACACAGTCAGAATTCTAAGTCAAATAGCAAATACAGCTGTGCAACAAACAACACTAGTCTGTCTGCCTGCCTGCCTGCCTGCCTGCCTGCCTGCCTGCCTGCCTGTCTGTCTGTCTGTCTGTCTGTCTGTCTGTCTGTCTATCTCTATATCTCTATATCTATTGATAGTGTTAATAATAGACAAAACAGTACTCCACATATGTGAACAGAACCAATAAATGAAGTTCAGTTTATTCGGTATATCACCAGCCCAAGAACCAATAAAGTGTAGGTATAACAAAGTAGTCTTCAATTGACATTGCTTATAGCATAAATTTAGCACAGTAGTCTTCACGTTACATGGAGCATATAACAACTAGCACATGAAGAAGAAATCAAACCGATATGAGTTCAGCAGAGAAGTCTTCAGTTGCATGTAGCATATCAACGAAGAATCCAGATATTATAAACTTCGTTTCGTTGAACTTCCTCAGTAATTGCAATGACTAATGTAATTTATACACAACATTGATTGCATCAGCTTCTGAAGTCATTTGTAAAGACAGTGTTTCCAAAAGGTCCTTGTATTAATGGGCAACCAGTCCTATTCTTTAAGTGGAGCTTTCTTCTGTGGCTTTTTAGTCTGTGGCTTTTTAGTCTGCTGATTTTTAGTCTGTTAAATCTATGCTATAAGCCAAGGGTTTCAAACGTGCGGCCTGGGGGCTGGATCAGGCCCCCGAAGGGCTTCTATCAGGCCCACGGTGGAACTGGCTGTCTCCTGCTTCTTCTTCCAGTTCTGCTGCTGCTGCTGCGTCATCGTAGGTTTGCAGCTTACAGATACACACCTGAACAGCATGCTCAAGACTGCAACAGCACAGACATTTTGATGCAATAATTCAGAACAAGAGGTGTCAGTTATCAGACACTGTTAAACAAAATATTGCAAGAGTGCTGATGTTTTAAGTATGATTTTATTTTAAGTAAAAAAAGCCCTCCTTTGTGTTTGTGTCCTTTATAAAGTTCATATCTCCGCTCCCTGGCATTACATTTTATGACACACATGGCCCAGCCCGACGAGGTCTCCTTTATGTCAGATCCGGCCCTCATAACAAATGAGTTCGACACCCCTGCTTTAAGCTATGTAAATTGAAGATTCCTTTGTTATACCTACACTTTATTGGTTCTATTCACACCTATGGACTTTACTGTTTTGTCTATTATTCACACTATCAATATATATATATTTTTGTAGCGTTATTTGTTACACAGCTGTATTTGCTATTTGACTTAGAGGTGTAGATTTGCCACGAACATTGGGGTTTGGGTGGCGTGGCCGCAGCCAGCAAACCTTAGAAGCACTAAGGGGGGCTAGGCCTGGCTTTGGTTTTTGGAAATCCAAGGGTGTGTTCAGATGGGCACCTAATCCCGTCATTATGCCAGCTTGAATTTTATCCCGATCTTTTTAATCCATGGTAGCACGACCAGACATCCCCCTGGTGAATCGTCTTACCGCGTGCTGCCTCTGTTGTGGATTGTCTAGATGGCATCCACTGAAGGAGGCATGCACGGTGGGGTTTTTTGAAACTTCTTGCGCATGTGCATAGGCGTCACAGCGCATCCCTGTTGAAGGAGGTGCGCTGTGGTTTTTTAAAAAAACTTTTTGCGCACGCGCATAGGTGTGACAGCACGTCCTTGTCGATCCGCGCATGTGTAGAGATTTTTTTAAATGGCGCCCGCTCGGGATGGTCTGACATCAGACCACCCCGACGGGAGGATTGCGCGCTGGTGGAACGATCAGGTGGGTGAAATTCCGCAGTTGTCCTGCAGGTAACCGAAAACTCCAGATTAAAAGTGCTATCTCTTAAGTACGGCTCCGAAGCGTGGCAAAACGGGATGCCCACGGAAGAGGGACGTTTCCCAGATGTTTGTGTCTGGACGTTACCTTTAGATCCTTGAGGCAATCGTGCCTCGCGCGGATCTAAAGAGCCATCTGATCGGACTCCTAGCGTGTTCGTGACATCACTTCGGGTTTAAAACCTTCCGTGGGCAGGCACAATCCTGGCATGGTCCCTGATTCTCCCCTCTGGCATTTTGGGCAGCAAGACCTGGTGCGCCGAAGTGCGGAACATAGTCCCTGAGTATGAGATGAACATGGCCGTGGAGAGGGGCCGCCACAGGAGCTCAGGGGGGGGGGGACAGTCCCAGTCTTGGAGGGCTTCGGGGGGGTCCCTGGTGCCCCCTTCTGGCTTTGAGCCACTGTTTGGATAGGAGCTTTGGGATGAGCAGCAGCCAGTGCAGCAGCAGAATGTGTTGCCACACAGCTCTGAGCTTGCAGCACAGCTGTGTGCTGGTGGCTGGCGAAAGCAACCTGTGATCGCTGGAGCAGGCCAGGAACCAGGTGTTGATCAGTGGAGGGTGGAACGGCACGCTGTGCAGGGAGTGCGGGCTTTTTAAGCCCATGGGTGTCGGGGAGGGGTGAAGGAAGTTTGCAGGAGCATTGTGTCATGAGTGGAGGGCCCATGCCTCAGCGCTGTACTTGCAGAAGGGCCTGGATTCATTCCCTGGCATCTCTGGGTTAAACAACCAGGCAGGAAGTGGCGTGAAAGACCTCTCTCTGAAACCCTGGAATTTCTGTACATGGTCTGATGGGGAGAGGCCAAGGTTGTCAGTGGTTGTCAGTGGCGGCTCCTAATCGAAGGCCTGGTGGAAGAGCTCCGGGTTGTTGTTTTTTTGTTATAATTATTTTATTCACTTCCTTGATAGCTCACCTTCCTCACTGAGACTCAAGGCGGATTACAAAATCTCAAAATCCTGCAGCCAGACAGGGAAAGACGTTATGGAACTCCCCCTAGAAGCATCAGTTGTTTTCCTGGGTTTGGAGAAGGGAGGGGGAGGCAGTGCCCCACTTTAATTTTGTTGTTGTTCAGTTGCACAGTCGAGTCCGACTCTTCGCAACCCCATGGACCACGTCACGCCAGGCCCTCCTGTCTTCCACCGTCCTCTGAAGTTTGCTCAATTTCATGTTTGTTGCATCGATAACACTGTCTGACCATCTCATCCTCTGCCGTCCCCATCTTCTTTGACCTTCAATCTTTCCCGGCATCAGGGTCTTCTTCTCCAGTGAGTGCTCCCTTCTCATTTGGTGGCCAAAGTATTTGAGCTTCAGCTTCAGTATCTGGCCTTCCAGGGAACAGTCAGGGTTGATTTCTTTTAGGACTGACTGATTCAACCAAGGGACTCTCAAGAGTCTTCTCCAGCACCATAATTGAAAAGTATCTATTCTTCTTTAATTAATCTATTCCACTTTTAAGTGGTGAGGGCTAATTGTCTCCAGAGCAAAGTTTGAGTCCAGTTGGCACCTTTAAGACCAAAATATATATGAAAGCTGATACCCAGAATTAAACTTTGTTGGTCTTAAAGGTGCCAACGAGACTCAAACTTTGTTCTTATGCTTCACATCAACGCGGCTACCCGCCTGAAACTGTCTCTGGAGGATTTGCGTGCCTTCAGGCTGTTTTGCGGAGAGAGCGCGTGGGCAAGGAAAGAGGAGCGGAGGCCCTTCTCTCCCCCATCACAGACACCTGTCTCTTGTCCAAAGAATCCTACGTTTATTCACAGTTCTCTGCCTGTTTGTTTTTTACGAGATTTCTGTGCCACCTTTCCAGAATTCTGCTCGAGGTGGTTTACAATTAAAATAATAGATTGCCAATATTAAGAAAAAGACAGTAAAGCAAGCCTAGGGTCATTAAAAAAAAAAAACCCACAGAATAAAGCTGTCTATAAAACAGACCTCAGCCCAGAAGCTGGTGATAAAACATCTGGGAAAGATGAAAACTCCTCATTAAAAGCCTCGGTGAAAAGGCTGCTCTCAGCTTTCCCGAAAAAGCACCCCTACAGATGTGCGGCAGGATACGTGAATTTATTTGCACATTAATGGTCCATTGTGTGCCTTGAATTAATCAACTTTAAATGCTTGGATCAGCTGACAGCACAAACCTGGGAGAACCTGAAGTGTCCTGCCGCTCCCATGCTCTTTCTTTCCTCTCTCTCTTTAGCCAAAGAAGCTCAGTCAGAGAGCTCCCTTGTTAGGCTTGCCACCTCCGGGTTGGGAAATTCCTGGAGATCTGGGGGTGGAGCCTCAAGAGGGTGGAGTTTGGGGAGGCGAGGGTCCTCAGTAGGGTATAACACCATAGAGTCCACCCTGCAAAGGACCTATTTTCTCCAGGGGGCCTGATCCCTGAGCTGGCCTTGGCTGGAAGGACGAGGTAGAAATTTAATCAATCAGTCAATCAATCAATTGTAATTCTAGGATGTCTCCAGCTCTTACCTGGAAATTGGCATCCCTATCCCTTGCCTGCTCAGTCCAAAGGGCCATCTGGCCCATCATCCTGTTTCCAGTAGATGCTTCCAGGTAGTCTGCAAGCGAGAGATGAAGGCAGCTGCTGTTCCTGCCCATTTGTTCTCAGAGATACACTGCCTCTGAATATGGAGTTTCCACTGAGTGATGTTGATGGAGCCTTCCGTGAATTTGTCTAATCCTTTTTTTAAAAAAATTCTAAGCTAGCCTCCTCCTTGTCCAGTCCTGCTAGACCAGGGGGAAATGTTTGAGAGCAAAGATGCTCTTGGCGGGTCCTGCATTGGGCAGGGGGTTGGACTAGATGGTCTCTATGGCCCCTTCCAACTCTGTGATTCTGTGAATTCTACGATTCTCTGAAAG